GATGCATTTTCGGCCTTAAAATGGCCACTATTCGGCTATCGTTAATCGGATCATGAAAAAAATGCATGTGCATATGTCCCATATAATGTGTGATGTATGAGTGAAGTTTGAACTTAATCGGTCCATGCATGTTTGAGATACAGGTGATCACGGACGCACGGACGGACGGACGCACACAGGGCAAAACATAAGTCCCCGTTTTCGGACTGCGTTCGAACGGGGACTAATAAACAATTTTCAAAGCTAGGAAAATTATTGCTTTAATAATAATCTACAATATGGTTTTAAAGAAAAGTAGTCATAAATTTGTTAAATATACTGCCACATAGTTTCCTATGTGATGAGAAAACTCAGAACAGGTAGTTTCTTTGAAAGGCTGGAGATATGGCACTCCTTTGCAAAAAAAAATATTTTTTAAACCATATTTTGAAAATAACAACTTTTTTGATTACGAGTTCATAAGCATAGATTTTCTCTAATACAACATTAGTATTTATAAAAACAAAAGAACAAATTAGGTGTGGTAATATTTAAGGAAAATACCATACTATTCGGTGTCATTCCAGAGGATTGAAGTAACTAACATTCAGTACGCTAATAGTACCAATGAATATCACCAGCATCTTCTATAATGAACAGATCATTTAATCCTTCAGTGCCAGGTAAGATCGCTGCACGCAGGCGGCTTGAGTTCTAGCCCATGCCCACAATGTCAATGCTCAGATAAATGTGCTCATATGCAAAAGTGTGTGCGCATGTGTACTTGTTCACATGACTTGCTGTGAGCTCATTTTGTCTGCACAGACAGTGTTGCATACCTCCTAGGGCTTGGACTGCTTACATGTACTTACCTTTGATGGGATTGGAAGTTGGTTTCAGTGTATCTAAGTTATTATAGAATAGCCTGTCAACACAGACAATGGTATTGCCACTACTGTCACCAATACGATTGAAGATCCTCCGCTGTGGGTGTGCTTTCTTGAATAGCTGAAAAGAGGAACAAAATTGATATAAAAGTAACATAATATTAACTAAGAGTGGCACTCATTCATGACAATAAGATCAGATCTGAGAGCATCATGTTCATGGCTGTATTCTTTAATTTAAATATTAAGTATTTTACTCATAGCATGTCAATTCGTTATGAGATATGAGTACACTCTCAAATGTAAAATTGTCTCTGAATCCAAAAACAATTTTGGTTATTCTGATCTGCCATCAACAACAAGAGTGTTACAATAGTTATCATTAGAACAAATCACCAGGTTCACTTGACTTTCACCATATTTTATGTTGTTGATAAAAAAATCCAAATAAAGAAGCAATGGTCATCAAACAACTTTTCAAACCCCCATGAAAATGTTGAATTTTGAACTGTTTACCATAAGACCAAAAAAAAAACAACAACTTATGTTGCCCTCAAGTCGGAAAATTGGGTCGGTCGGTCGGATTTTTTTTTTTTTTTTTAAACTTATCGAATCGTAAATAGTCGAGGTATATGGGAAAAAACCCGCGACCCGATATTTCATATTTTTCAGTCGGTCGCTGAGGGCAACAAAACAATTTTTTTTTTTGGCCTTATGGAATATCTGAATTTTGTTTCGGTACATATTGGAAAAAAAATCGTTCGTAGTTATAAGACAGATCCTTGTGGTTCTTCCGAATTATTGGTAAATTCAGACGAATATGAATACAATTTTTCCCAAAAAACATATAATGCATGTTTCTAGAAAAAATAATAATTTTGTAATGAGTGAGCAGCCTCAAAATTTGACAAGTATGTAAAATTGTTGAAATGAAAAAATACAGTCGACTTTGAAGCGTCGTCACAGTCAGTATATATGTCTTGTGTTACGTATACAATGCATGTAAATAAACAAAGTTTGCTCACATGTAGTTGGCACATGTATCACATGACTGTAGCGTGCCTTGAATCACGTTTATTTGCATGCATATCACTGCAAATCAAATATTACCTGAGTTGGTATTTGACCAAAGTTGTTGATAAATCCAATGGTGGCATTTTTCTTGAGAGGGTCTTCAATACTGTATATATCCACATTACCTTCGTAGAATAGATAGTGGAACACGTTGACAGCTTCTGCAGCCGGCGGTCCATTTTGTTTGTATCCAAAGATAAGGTCAATCCAATGATGCAGATTAGCACTCACATAATCACATTCTAGAGCCTATTGAAAGTGACGATACAAAACATGGAAACTAAATTCAAATCTGGTTTTCATTTGTTTCATTGGAAAGAAAGAACTTGTTAATGCCATTGGATTGCGCCGTGGGATTATGGGATATCATGGTTTATCGGCAAAGTAAACTTTTGTTCTATCACAAAATTAACTTGCATCCTTTCCACATTTTTTTCAATTATTTTGATCAAGATGTGTAGTCAATGAAGAATTCTGTCCTATTGGTTCAAAATTAACAAAGAATTTATAGAAAAATACATGAATATCTGCAAAATGATGCATCAACATTTTTTCGGGATCAAACATAGCATTCAAAAATGTTCAGTATTCTGTCTTTGGGGTCCATTCAAACTTGAAAAAATTAAAGTTACATTGATTTCACACTTTGTGATTACATGCAGAACACCTCCCCCAGATTACTGTGATTACTGTGAGAAATGATAAAATCGGTTGATATGGCAACAAATCCTATAAACACCAAATCAAACATAATTCTATATAAAGACCATTTTATCAAATTGGATCATGAAAATTGTTGTCCTTTAATCTACTGACTGAGAGTCAATCACTTTCCTTTTATTTTCACTGCACATGGATTTACAGACTTATATTCAACTTGTAACTCACCTCTCTGTGTACTCTGATAAACTCTCTTGGATCACCTTTTGCCCAGGGTGGCAAGATGACATCACCTAAACACACACCACTCTGTTTGGCACCTAAATCATAGTTATTTGAATTTGTGAGAAATTCTGGGAGGTAAAAGAATTCTGGAATCAGCTCCTTTACATCAGCCATGTTGTGTTTTGATGCGGATAACCACGCTTCTTTGATGCTGTGAAACATTCTGTCCGCCAAGTCAAAATGACCACCCTACAAAAACATAAACAGGAAGTTTTAGTAAAGGGAACTGTGACATTCTGTTTGCCAATATTCTCTGTAATTACTACAATAATCTCTCTTTAATTACATGACTGACAGGGGCCACGTTCAATGAGCATTCACATAGTAACTGGGATAAAGGTAAAATTATATGGAATGCGTGTGTGGCAAACTACTGATAGAAGCTTGAAGCAGAGTCCAGATTAATATTCTATTTTTTAACATCAAACACATTCCAGTGGTACTCCAGCATGAACAAGCCATGCATGGCACATTCCCAGTTAGTTATCAAATTTAAGATATATAGTTTTGTTTATAGTAATATAGCTGGAACATAACCATTTCAGAAATATGATTTTTTTAACATTAAAATGATTGACATAAGTATCTGATCGTCAAACAAGTCCTTGTCCATATTGAGAGATATTGCTCTGAAACAGCATTCAAAATCAGCCATTTTGAATACATGTATGTATA